TGTTTAACGCTTTGTGGTAACGACTGGGTATCGTGAACACGCTCAATCAAAAGTGTTCCAATAAGTATGCACTGAGCATGAAATTATGTTACCGCACACTTTTAACGTTTTAACTTTTAATGCGCATGAATGTCCCCAAAACATCTAAATTTGAAGTGTTTTCAGTTTAGTCAGCTCGTGCCTGGTCATACCGAAATCCTATCTGTTTGTGTGTGTTTATGGATGGCAACATAATCTCACTGGTATTACGCGCCTGAGTAATCTATTGGATGCTGACGTGGGTCATTTGGTTGACCCGTTAAATACCGGTACTTAGTTACCCATCTAAAAGGTCTATATAGGATTATACCAGACTGGGTTTGTTAGAACTACAGCATGATTAAGCTGCTTTTTTGAGTTTACTGTACATTTTCAGGACTACCAGGGATACCTGAGTAGGTTGGTGCGATTTCTTTCTTTTATAATCTGTATTTATTCATAGACATTTATTCTTGAATACCATAATTTTTCCACCATTTGTGGGTTGTAACAGTTCACATTTTTTTAATGTATTTCCTCATTTGCTAAGGATCCTAATCATTTCATCTAAGAGTTGGACAAAATTATTTTGGTTTATTTTTGTGGTTGATAACAAATATTGACTTTCGCATTCAAAGTTAACTAAGGGTTGTCTATTTCAAACTTTCACTGCTGTGTATTAATGTTATTATTACATGTACAATCATTTCCCTGGGATCTCCAGGCATTTAAGCTATGCATTAGTCATCTAATGTTCATTTTTATTCAGTATTATTTCTGGATTTTTTCTCTAATGTTTTGCACTGGGTTGCACATTTAAATGTAATCCACAGTCTCCATTGACGTGAACTGATCTGATTTATTTGGAGATGAGAAAAATTAAATTTGCTTATAAACGTGAAATTAATGTATCCTTATCATGTGCGACTCTCTGAATGATCTGCAGAACAGTTAGCACCAAGGTTTCCAAAACTTTGTACTTTTTCTCCTTGTGGTTCAAAAATATAAAACTTTTTTCTATTTAGGTGGTTTAAAAAATCAACATGTGTTGAGGAAAGCTTCATTAAATTTTGACACACACTTCATATTTTTGGCTGCTTGTGAATTTCTTCCATATTTTGTCTTAATATCATGTCCATAGTAATAATTGGGTGTGGGTGTGGGTAGAGTAGGTTGGAGTTTTTGACTCCCATGTGCGAAGCACAAAATGGGAGTCTTTGCAGTTAGTGTGTCTGTATGTGTGTGTGTGTGTGTGTGTGTGTGTGTGTGTGTGTGTGTGTGTGTGTGTGTGTGTGTATGTGTGTCCGACTGTTCCACTGCTATCTCAAGAACCATCGGTTTTTGATGAAACTTGGTGCATAGATGCTCTGGGCCAATGCGCAGATTTGATTAGTTTTTGGTAAAAATCCATGCATATTAATTACCTAATTTGCATGATAATTAGCTAATTTTTAGCTGTTCTATGACTGTTCCACTGATATCTAAAGAACCACTCATTGGATTTTGATGAAACTTGGTACATAGATGCTCTGAACATATGTGCAGATTTGATTAGTTTTTGGTAAAAATCTGTGCATATTAATTACCTAATTTGCATGATAATTAGCTATTTT